TCAAAGACTCCCTGCGGCACTATTTCTCAACTAACACATCGCCCACCACGGCCCCGCCAACTACGTGGGAAGCCCACAAATGTGTCCTCAGAGGAGAACTCATAGGGATAGCATCCAGACACAAAAAACTAAGAGAAGCCAAAATCCAAGCCCTCACAAAAGACATTAGGTCCCTTGAACAAACCCATAAGCATGACGTGCGACTAAGCACATACATTACACTGACAGCCAAAAGGTCTGCCCTACAAGACCTGCTAAACGCCAAAATCAAACGATCGCTGCTCCTCACAAAACACTCTTACTATGCCCAAGGGGGCAGATGCGGCCGCTTACTAGCACAATCAATTCGACAACAGAGACAGTCGATATTCATCTCCAAAATCAAAACCCCTAAAGGAGACATATCATATCGACTCCCAGACATTTTGCAGGCATTCCAAACATACTACACAGACCTTTACAACCTCAGGGACGCGCCCCCCTCGCATACCGATATCGAACACTTCCTAGCCTCCAGGATAAACCACACAATCCCAGATCAGGCGCTAGCGACATTAGACGCCCCACTACATACGGTTGAGATACACTCGGTAATCAAACATCTCCCATTAGGCAAAAGCCCAGGGCCCAATGGATTCACGGCCAAGTATTACAAGACCTTCCTGGAACAACTAGCGGAACCATTTGCATTAGCCTTTAATTCTTTAGCACTGACGTCCACCTTACCCACTCCAGCACTAGAAGCGCACATAACCCTCATCCCCAAGCCAGGGAAAGACCCAACCAACTGTGGCAGCTACAGACCCATATCCCTTATAAATCTCGACCTAAAGATCTTTACAAAAATCCTGGCTAATCGCCTACGCCCTCTACTCCACTCCCTGGTCCACGTAGACCAAGCAGGTTTCGTACCAAATAGAGAGGCGAAACATAACACAACCAAAATCCTAAATCTCATACACCTAGCACAACCCCTTCCGTCAGAGAGCCTCCTGCTGTCCATCGACGCAGAGAAGGCATTTGATAGGGTGGACTGGACCCTACTGATAGCCACTCTTCGCAAACTAGGCTTTGGACCACACTGGATAAGATGGATGCAATCCATTTACTCCTCTCCCACTGCCAGGCTGAAGGTCAACGGGCAACTCTCAGATCCAGTCCATATCAGAAACGGCACGAGACAGGGGTGCCCCCTGTCCCCCTTATTGTTCATCTTAACCCTCGAACCCTTCCTAAACGGCATCAGAGGACACCCAGAGATTAAAGGCATACATGTACAACAGACGGAATACAAAATAGCGGCATTTGCGAACGGCCTCCTCTTTATCATACAGTCACCCGAGACCTCTTATGGAGGAAATATCCCTATACCAAACACTATCTAATTTCAAGGTAAACTTCGCGAAAAGCGAAATTCTCCCACTTCGAATGTCCACCCAAACGCGGTCTTCCTTACTACAAAAATTCCGATTTACATGGGCCGACACTGCAATTACATACTTAGGGGTGAAACTCCCAATACACCTAGACTCTACACTTGATCTTAACTTCGAGCCACTTACCCAAGCCATAGCCAAGGATCTTACAACATGGGACAAAATGAAACACTCATGGTTGAGTAGAATTAACATACTCAAAATGAACACCCTCCCTAAGATCCTATATCTGCTACAGACCCTACCTATAACCATACCCAAACCCTTCTTTGCCAAAATCAAGAGGATGTTCACCACTTTCATATGGGCGCACAAACACCCCAGAGTTCCATATGACATCCTCACTAGAAGCAAATCTGCAGGTGGACTAGGGATGCCTCACATAGAGAAATATTACGAAGCAGTTATACTGTCTCGAATATACGAATGGTCCATTCAGCCCCCGGCTAAACAATGGGCCATGTTAGAAAGCTCAATATTCGAGGTCCCTCTACACACCATACCATGGCACACACAGAGACAGGGATTGACGACACCTGAACACGTTTCACACCCCACAATCGGCCCCACACTCCGGACTTGGGCACGTATAAGGAAAATAGGGGATATCTCCCCACATCCATCCCCACTGTTTCCCATTACTCACAATCCCTCATTCCAACCAGGACTGCAGGCAGGACCTTTCCAACGCCTCCTAAACATCTCAGACGAGACACACATCACAGTGAGCACTATATTAGACGGACACTCCCTAAAACCTCTACAACACATAACAAGGCAGGAAACCCCTACAGCTAAGCAAACGTTTCTTTACATACAAATGACACACTTTATCAACGCTAATCCCGTTCTCTATGGAGGGTCTCGCCCTCTCTCTACTTTCGAAATCCACTGTAAGGCAAACAACGTCAAAACTAAACAACTATCAACATTTTATAGACTCCTGTGGACACAACCCAACGTCACTCTGCCCCGCTACACAGAATCCCGGTCTGCAGATCTAGACATCCAAATTTCGCCCACACAATGGCATACTATCTTTACACAAATGCACAAAACCTCCGTATGCACTGCCATACAGGAAGGCAACTACAAGAGAGTCTCTAGATGGCACTACTCCCCTGCCAAAATACATAATCTCTTCCCCACTGTCCCCAACGCATGCTGGAAGTGCTCCACTCCGGGGGCTACCCTAGCACACACCTGGTGGCACTGCCCACTAATCCAGAAATTCTGGGAAAACATAGGGAAACTACTCCTAACTATCACAAATGGCCAACTACCACACACCCCGCTTACACTATTATTCTTACTACTACCGTGTTCCCTTCCAAAACGAATCCTACTCACGCACCTCATCACCGCCGCCAACCTACTCATACCAATCAAGTGGAAAAATTCCGCAGCCCCTTCAATCAGGGAATGGATCGCTAAGGTAGAATCAATTAGGGTCATGGAGGAGATACACGCATCCCTCTCTCACAAACACGCACTCTTCAGAGACATATGGGAGCCATGGGAGGAATTCATGAATAATTCATGAATAACTCATAGCCGCGATCACAAGAATCGCACACACAAAAGACAAGCATCACGAGTACCTGTCCCCCTCTACCCGCAGCTTTACACAAACTCGCCGAAGCAGCCACAGATGCCTGGAACCCCCCCTCCTCACCCCCCCCCCTCTTTCCGACCCACCCCTTCCCATACGACAGCGGCCAACGCTGTCCAAGTGTTTTGATCTCTATCTATAATAAGCCGTGACAATGTATTCAATTATGTATAACTTGCAACTTGTACTGTTACTTTTACACAATAAAGTATTAAAAAAAAAAAAAATTGCAAGCCCAAACCAGACAGTGGCAGAATTTGCTCACTAATATAACCAGCTATTTAATGGTGACCTCAATGTGGTAAAGTAGGTACTTGACTTTGGGTTCGTTTTGACTTCCCTGATTTATAGTACTCTTGACTTTTCCTTACCGCTGTGTCTTTTTCTTTGTCCCTGACCTTGGCTAGTTTTCTGACTATTCTCGGGTACGTTAAGTCCGGCCATTCTAAGGTCCGTTAAGACGTTACCCTTAGTTCTAGAGTGTGATACTATTCTGCGTGCAGGATC